AAGTCAGAAGCAATCTCCATCATCACTCTGTTCACTTTGTAGAGGAGGAAGGAACTGCCCTGCCTTAAGGCCACTCCAGTAAGAAGTGACAAATCAACAGCCAAGAACCAAAGCCCAGGCCTTCTGACTTTGCATCCTGTGGAATATGATGTAGTCATTGAAAGGAATTCTGAATGTTCCGTTATGGAAGGTTCACCAGAATATGTTAAATGACAAAAACTAGGTACACAACAGAGTGTAGAGTGTTCCAATTTGTGACAAAATGGAGCAAGGAGATTATGTGTACCAGTTCAATAAAGTCGTTCAGTTGTGTCTGACTCTTTGCAACCCCATGGACAACCCCATGCAGTCCAGGCTTGGGGTTGCACACCAGGCTTCCCTGTCCATCACCAACTCCCAGAGCTTGCTTCCCTGTCCATCACCAACTCCCAGAGCTTGCTCAAACTCATGTCCATTGAGTCGGTGGTACCATGCAATCATCTCATCTTCTGTTGTCCCCTTCTCCTGACTTCAATCTTTCCCAGCATCAGAGTCTTTTCAAATGAGTCAGTTCTTCACATCAGGTGGCCAAAGTTTTGGAGTTTCAGCTTCAACATCAGTCCTTCCAATGAATATTCAGGACTGATTTCCTTTAGGATTGACTGGTTTGATCTCCTTGCTGTCCAAGGGATTCTCAAGAGTCTTCTCCAACACCAGAGTTTGAAAGCATCAATTCTTTGGCCCTCAGCTTTCTTTATAGTCCAACTCTCACATCCATACATGACTACTGGAAAAACCATAGCTTTGACTGGACGGACCTTTGTTGGCAAAGTAATGTCTCTGCTTTTTAATATGCTGTCTAGGTTGGTCATAGTTTTTCTTCCAAGGAGCAAGCATCTTTTAATTTCATGGCTACAGTCGCCATCTGCAGTGATTTCGGAGCCCCCCAAAATAAAGTCTGTCACTTTCCATTGTTTTCCCATCTATTTGCCGTGAAGTGATGGGACTGGATGCCATGATCTTCATTTTCTGAATGTTGAGTTTTAGCCAGCTTTTTCACTCTCCTTTCACCAAGAGCCTCTTTAGTTCCTTTTCCCTTTCTGCCATAAGGTTTATGTCATCTGCATGTCTGAGGTTATTGATATTTCTGCCGATTATCTTGATTTCAGCTTGTGCTTCATTCAGTCCCACATTTTGCATGGTGTACTCTGCACATAAGTTAAATAAGCAAGGTGACAATATACAGCCTTGATGTACTCCTTTCCCAATTTGGAACCAATTTGGATTATGTAAACAGGATTTACATACATGCATGGTTATAAATACCTGGATATCCCTGGAAGGAAACAAAAGCAAATAGTAATAATGTTGCCTTGAGAGTTGGACTGTGAAGAAAGCTGAGCACCAACAAACTGATGCTCTTGAACTGTGGTGTTGGAGAAGACTCTTGAGAGTCCCTTGGACAGCAAGGAGATCCAACCAGTCCATCCTAAAGGAGATCAGTCCTGGGTGTTCATTGGAAGGACTGATGCTGAAGCTGAAACTCCAGTACTTTGGCCTCCTCATGCGAAGCGTTGACTTATTGGAAAAGACCCTGATGCTGGGAGGGATTCGGGGCAGGAGGAGAAGGGGATGACAGAGGATGAGTTGGCTGGATGGCATCACCGACTCGATGGACATGAGTTTGTGATGGATAGGCCTGGTGTGCTGCGATTCACGGGGTCACAGAGTCAGACACAACTGAGCGGCTGAACTGACTGAGGAAGAACTGGGATCAAAGGAGAGAGGGAGATCTGATAGTCACTGAATACAGTCTTCTACTGTTTGAATATATTACCTTTTGCATGCATTCATTTGAATGATGAGTGAATTGTTTAAATAAATACACATAAATATAGGTGCTTTACAATGTTGTGTTAGTTTCTGCTACCAGTGAAGTGAATCAGCTATAGGTATCCATATATCCTCTCGTTTTTAGATTTTCATGTTTTTCCATTTTAACTTCCATCCTCTTACACCCTTATTGATCACTGCTTTTGAGATTTATGTCCTCTTCATTCCAGGTATCCCCTGCCCTCCAAACACACCTTCTTCTTACAGCCTTGGCATTTACTGTTTCCCCTCCCCAGAACAGAGCTTCCAGAAATCTGCAGGCTCCCTAACTTCCCTCAGGACTTTGCATACCCTACTTCTCATAAAACAATGCCCACCCACTGTCATTTCCTAGTCTCTTTTTATGTTAATTTATCTTCACAGCACTTATCACTATGTGACTTTGTTGTTGCTGTTCATTTATTTGCTCCCCATTGGAATATAAACTCTAAATATTCTATACAGAGAGCAGACTTTTATTTAGGAATTAAGCAAATACCTAAATTGTGTCTGGCTTGCTCTAAATGAATTAATGAAGAACTATAATAAACCTGGATTTAGGATTTTAGGAACACATTGGGCAGGTTATATATCCTCCCCCCGCCACACACGAACACTAAATCAATACACATACCTGTCCTTTCATCATATCCAGAAATCCAACAGAGTGTTTTCTGAACAAATATCTCCCAATGAATAACATCTTCAAAGGAGAAACCATGAGAGACAGCCTACTTATTAAACTGATGATTACAGTCTGTGACCCATTTTTCTGAAAGAGTTCTTAAATAGGCTCTGGACATTTAAGTCATTGGGAAGCCAAATTATTGTCATAAAGTTGCTTAGTGCACATGAATTGGAGCCTGAGGAGGTAGGTACTATTTAAGTGCCATCATAAATGGCATGGAGCTTTCAGCCTGATGTGGCCATCTACTCTCTAGGGAACTAAGATGGGCCAAGAACAGCCTCTCCTCCGATGATGCTGGGCTAGACTGGGCTCTGCCAACTTCTGCCTGAGTTTTCCTTGCTTGCCATTGGTTCCTGTAGCCTGTGTCACATGGCTTACATATTGTACCTATTTGTAGCTGTTCTTTAAGTATCTGAAGACGTTATTGTATCTAAAACTCATACATTCATCACTGAATTGTAGATCTTCATCATGCATCTTCTGGGGCAAAGGATTCTAAGTAAAAGAATTAAGGTTCAATGATCTACTTTTTAATATTTAAAGAGGTTGTTGAACATGTTCAGAAGTGAGGATCACTGTCCTGGGCTGGCCATCTACTTCTGGTCTGATATTCCACTAAACAGATTAAAGCACAATTGACTAGATTTTTTTTCTAATCACATTTCAGGGCTTATATCGTTTTATCTGATGTCGGAGTGTTTCCATAGTTTTGTTGTTTTCCTGATTTACCACCACAGATGGTTAATTAAATCCACTACAGACTCAACAAGCCAGGTTATTACAGGTAATCTTGGGCTGAGTCGCTCAGTCGTGTCTGACTCTTTGCGACCCCATGGACTGCAGCCTACCAGGCTCTTGTGTCCATGGCGATTCTCCAGGCAAGGATACTGGAGTGGGTGGTCATGCCCTCCTCCATGGGATCTTCCCAACTCAGGTCTCCCGCATTGCAGGCAGATTCTTTACGGACTGAGCCACCAGTCCTAACTCCTTTCATTTAAAGCTTTGGGAATTTCTAATGCAAAGGAAATAAGGCGGGGGAAGAGATTACTTGGGTTTCTAGAAGGAATAAGTTTTGATGTGGAATTTAAGAGGCAGAATTTCGCAGAGAAAGTATTTTAGGGGTTTCGGAAACGGGTAAAGCACATATGGAGGGACTGATAAACCTACTGACCCTCAGAGGTATGGGTCTGTTGTAATGTGAGATGAGGCCGAATCAATCCTTGCCGAGGGTTTTAAACGCCAAACTGAGGCATCAAAACTCCTCCGCCTGGGGAGCAAGCGGAGGTTCTCAGCAGGTGAGAAGCATGAGCGGATTGGTCAACGGATGGATGATCCGCATTATAATTTCTCCGGCGCGCTCTTCCGACCTTTGCCCGCAGCGCAGGCCGGCTTCGCGGTAGGTGGTGGTGGTGCTCTCCGGTAAAGCGAACCGCGGGATCGGCCGGAGATGCTGCCCGGTCCGGCTGGGGCCCCCAAGTCACTGCCCGGCGCTGCACCTGGGCCCGGCCCGGCCGCCGATTGGACGACTCCGGGTGACCCGGCTGTATCGCGAGACGAGATTGGCAGCGGCGGGGCCGCATGTGCCCCCGCGCTGGCTTTGTACGCTGAGCCGCCTGCCGGTCCTTTAACAATGGGCGGCGCGAGCGCCCTGGCGCTGGGTCGGAGCTGAGGCCGGCGCTTTGCTGCCGACTGTCCGCAGCATGAGCGGGGCCGGCGTCCCCCGCATGTCGGCGGGGCTGGGCCTGTGAGGGCCGCGGTTCCGGGTAAGGGAGGCCGTCGTGGGAACCGGCAGGCCTGGGTTGGTGGCGGGGCACTAGAGCCCCCCGGCCCGGCCTTTGTTCGCCTTTCTGGGGCCGCGCGATCCCGTGCGCTCCTCCGGATGAGGAGGCGGAGGCTTGGGTGCGCGCTGGGCCCGGCCGGGGCGCGGGGAGGCTACGGAGGAGGAGCGCGCGCCCGATCATCGCAGCGGGCACCCGGAGCCGGGCTGGCGTTCGTCTTCGGGCTTCTCGGCGGAAGGTTTTTACCTCACGGGGTTTGTGAGTGCTGTCAAGTCTGAGCTTCTCGGGGCCGGAGAATTCGAACCCGCGGCGCGGGGAGTCCCGAAGCCGGGCCTCCGGTCTAGCTTTTCTGAGTACGCGCCCGGGTTCACGCCTAGGGAACTCGGGCCCCAGTTGGTCCCCTCTTGCCTGGCACCCGGTCCGGCAGTTGATCATACAAGCTGGCTCCTCCTGACCGGGTAGCTTGGGCCTTCCGTGAGGCGTCAGAGTTGGTTTGGTCGGTACTGGTTTTCGGACGAGTCAGGTGAAGATGAACAGTCACCCTGGGTGGCCTGAGGTCACACCCCTCGGGCGGGGGGTGGGGGGCGCGGAGGGGCGCATGGAGGGAGCTGGCAGTGACCGCGTCTGGGGTGTGTCTTACAGACTGAAGTTGCCTCCTCTGGCCAGGCACGCCGCTGGGTCCCATGGAGCTGGAGGCGCAGTGGTGGCGGGGACAGCTGGCTGCCGACATCCATCAAGCTCTTCGGTACAAGGTAACCGCTATGTCCTGACCTTTCAGTTCGGTGTGCCTCAGTGCCAGTTAGTATAAATCTCGGCTCCCTGGAAAACCAGGTCAGGGTCTTTAACCACTAGTTTCCAAATCAGAAAAGGCGAGTTTGCTTATTTGCTCGAGGTTAATTAACCTTGGCTTCTTCCCTGGGGTGTATCAGAAGAACCTGAAACTTGAATGAGGAGGTGGGTGGGGCGTGGTAGTTGAGAGAGGAAGATGTGAAGGGACAATCAGATGTTCTTGTTCTCAGGTGGAACATGGATTTGATATTGTATTTTAAAAGATATGTGTGCTGGCTTTTTATTGGGCAGAGCAACCTCCTTTCTTCTATAGCTACTGTTCCATGCAGCTGTCTGTCATGTCACATTTGTACAAAAATAAATCCCCCAGCCTTTCCACTAACTTGCTGTGAAACTTTGGACAAGTTACTTAATTTTCTGATTCCCAATTTCCTTACCTGTAAAATGATTAATAATAGAACGTGCTCTGTGAAACAAATGTGAAGATTAAAATGAGGTAATACTTCAGATGTGCTCAGAACAGTGATTGGCAGATAGTAAGCACTAAGAAAGTGATAATTTTGTTATTTTCTTTCCTTTAAACCCCAACACTTGGGGGCTGTTCAGAAAACCTTAAGGTAGGAGTTAGCTGCTCTTTCAGCTAATATCAAACAGGAGGAGTAGACCTAGTGTATTTAAAAGATATTCAGGGAAAAATACACCTTTCTGGCACAATGCAAAATTTGTTTATTGTAGCTGTCACATCTGTTTAACATGTCACTTCTGAGTCTTTTATAGCCAGAAGAGAGCCCAGATCCAAAATTAACTCTAACTTGACTTAATTTCACTGTGGATAGAAAGAACCATTATTATGTATAGAAAATTGGAAAGAAGCAAAACAGCTGACTCTTCAGTAAAAAGGCTGCTGACTGTTGGAGTTGAGAGGTCCTGGGATGATAATGAACTTGTATCTTGATTTTTTTTTTTTTTTAAAGAAAAACAGGTTAAATAGATTAGAAAACCTAATTCTGACTTGAACTATTACAATTGTACCCTTTTCTAAAGTTTGAGATTTCTAAATGCTGGTTGTGAGTTCTGACATTCAGTCTCTTAGACACAACTAAATACACCTCAGCTCCCTAATTGTACGGTAGAAAAGTCTCAAGTATGGAATGGTTCTCTGGAATGTTAAGAGAGTTGCAGGTTTTCCACCTTGAAAATTGTTCAAATACTTTTGATTTTTTTGTTGTTGTTGTTTTTTCTTTAGATATTATCTTTCAGTTTTAAATGGTCCTATTTTCTAAGTGTCAGTTCTTTATTCCTCTGGTATGTGGTGAAATTAATATCTAATGTTTCATGATACATATGTTTTTTAATGACATGAAACTTAAGATTTTTCATGGTGATTTCCATGGTTTTTGATTCTTATATTTTTTGTGTAACTTTAATCCTGAGTGATTATCTGAATTAATTTTATTAGCTGAAGTTGGAAGTGCATTTTTTTTCCAGCACATTTATTGAATGGTTTTGTTTATTGGGCTCTGAGGAAGATGTAAGGAATAAGACACAACCTGTACTAAACTTATGTACAAACTATCAGAGGATGAGCTAGAATAGGGCCTGAAAGAATACCACTGAAAGTTGTGTTGGGCCACCTGCCGCCTGTGACTGTGGGTTGTCTTTATTTTATCTTTAAGAATTGTGTAAGCCACATTCTTGTTATTTGACACAATGGCCACACTTTATAAAGAATTTGTTAATCAGTAAAACTTGAACCTGTGGAACTGGAGAGACCACTGTTTGTAGTACACTAAAGTCAAGGAAAGTTAAAATGGACTTTTCTCACAGAGAATACATGTCAATTTCAGGCTGTTAATTAGGTGATTTAGTTGGGTAGTCATATGCTTATTTATTCAACATATTTGCATGCCTACAGTGTACAGGGTGCTGTCAGCCATTAAAATGGTAATAGTGAATGAGATAGACATGATCCTTGCCTTTAAGTAGTCTAATTTCATTTGAATTTAGGTCTTCCATTAGACAGTTGCTATTTAGGCACAGTGGAACGTGTTCTGTTTAGACCCAAGGTTTGTGGAGGAATGATTGGTGTGACCAGAATTGAATCTACTAGGGAAGAGTAAAAATTACAGCAAATGAAAATCCTCTTCAACCCCAAATGGCAGCTGTACTGTTTCCATTAAATACAATCACTTTTTCCTCAACAAAGCAGCTGTCCTCTAATAGCCTGTGTCTTCTCTTCTCATTGTTTTGCTATGTATACTAGTGTCTTAGGATGCTTGGGGAAGTATTTTTAGGAGCCTTTATGACAGATAGAAACGATGCTAACTTTGTGAGAAACATCAAGAAAATATCCCACAGAGTTGTGAGTATTCCTTCTATGCTTTGATTTTCATCCTGGCTGGACAGTTAACCCATTCTGGGAACAGGATGGCACTTGGGATGGTGAGCTAACAAGGACCTGCGACTGGAGATGGAGATGACATATTTAGATCCTTCTGTGCTTTGGTCCTATGGGACCCTGGAAAGCAGACAGGAATAAGAGTGTTCAATTCTAGGGAATCAGGAGTAGATATTAGAAAAAACTCATAAGCTGAAAGAAGCGTAGGTCATTTTCTCATGTGTGTAACTGCGCTTACTTGGACAAAGAACTAAATCTGACAGCCATATGATAAGCCATGTCCTTTACCCTTTGCAGTAATATAAAGAGAATGTATTGGATACACTGTTAAAAATCTCCTAGTGGTGGCCCTCAGAATTCTTGCTTTTGTTTTGTCTTCTTTTAGCCAAGTTAACCTAGTTAAAATCCACCAGTGTCTTCCAGCTATGGTCCCCTATGCATCTGGCAAAACTGTGGTCCAATTATCACAACTAGGATAGTTTTGACATTGATACAGTCAAGATCTATAACATTTTCTGTACATTTATCACCACAAAGATCTTTCATCTTATCCTTTTATAGGCACAGCCTGTGTCCTCCCATCGTCATTCTCCTTAACCTCTGGCAACCACTCATCTGGTTTTTATTTTTATAACTTTGTCATTTCAGGAATGTTACATAAGTGGAATTATGTACTACATGATTTTGGGGGTTTCATTTTACCCACTCAGAATAATTCTCTGGAAATGCATCCAGGTTTTTGACATTAAGCTTTTTTATTCCACCATTTTGCTACTAAAAACAGTGCTGTAAAGGCCCTCCTTATATGTAGGATAAATTCCTAGACCTCGTGTTGCTAAGTTAAAGGGTATCTGCAGTCTGCATTTTCAAAAATGTATATTATCTAATTGCCCTTCAGAAGGTTATATGAGTTGTCAACCTGACCAGTAATACACGAGTTTCTGGATCCACTCTTGATAACATAAGTGAAAATTAATGAAATATAAAAAAATGATGATTGAAAAAAAACTATATAGTTATCCCTCAGTATCCATGGGAATTGGTTCCAGGATCCCTGTAAATACTGAAATTTGAGGATGCTCAAGTCCCTTATGTAAAGTGGGGTAGTGTTTGCATATATCGCATATATCCTACACACATCCTCTTGTATATTTTAAGTCATCTCCAGATGATTTAATCATCCATGTTGCAGCATATATCAGAATTTCATTTCTTTTTAAGGCTGAATAGTATTCCATTGTGTGTATATACTACATTTTGTTTATCATTTCATCTGTTGATGAACACTGGAGTTGTTTGTTTCCACTTTTTGGCTCTTGTGGATAATGCTGCTCTGAACATGGTTGTACAAATATCTCTTTGAGTCCCCACTTTAACTTCTTTTGGATATATATCTAAAGGTGAAATTGCTGGATCATGGTAATTCTACATTAATTTTGGGGGGGAATTGCAATACTGTTGTTCACAGCAGCTACACAACTTTATATTCCTACCACTACACAAGGGTTCCAATTACTCTACATCTTTATCAATACTTGTTAGTTTCTGTTTTCTCCATTTTCTTTTGGGGGGATTTTTTTTTACAGTAGCAATCCTAATTGGTATGAAATGGTATCTCATAATGGTTTTGATTTGCATTTTCCTGATCATTAGTGATTTTGAACATCATTATAGGTGCTTATTGGCCATTTGTATATCTTCTTTGGAGAAATGTTTAGTCAAGTCCTTTGCTCATTTTTCACTCGAGGTGTTTTGGATTTTGTTGAGTTGTATGTATAAGAGTTCTTTATGATCGGATATTAACACTTTACCAGATATATGATTTGCAAATATTTTCTCTCATTCTGTGGGTTGCTTTTTCACTCTGACAAAAGTGTCCTTTGATGCATAAAAGTTTTTTTTTTTTTTATGAAGTCTTACTTTTTTTTTGCCTGTGCTTTTAGGATCATATCCTTGTTACTTCCTTCCATTGTAATACCTGTTGGGTTTACTGTGGCATTGTGCTGAGCTCATAAAATGAATTTAGAACCCTTCCATCTTTCTGGAAATTCTTTAATAGTATAGGAATTTTCTTATTTTTAAAAAATGAGAAACCATATTAGAAAATACTAGTGAATCTTCGACATCCCTACAAGTGTAACACAGTATGCATTATACTAGAAGCATGTCCATTTATCCATTACCTTCTAACTAAAAGCTTTGAGCATCTTTAGGGGGTGTGTATGTATGGTTTGGTTAGTATTTTGGTAATGATGCTTTTCTGAAAACACGTGGTAGGGAAAACAGGATTCCGTTATTAAAAATCTTGCTAAAATAAATCTATTCAATAATGTAAGAAATACCTATAACTGGTAATGTCAGATGTGGTTAAGAATAAGGAGAAAAGTTTAGTTCTAAATTTTAAATACCATTCATTATCCTTCTACTCAGCTTTTTCATTTTTGTGTTTTACTCAAGAAAAGTGTTTTAGGCAATGGTAACACTAGTATATTGGGGGGAGAGTGTTATCTTTGCATTGGGGGGATAATTCTTCTACAGCCTGTATTAGACTAAATGTTCTTCTTGATTTAGGAGCTGAAGTTGCCTTCCTACAAAGGCCAGTCCCCTCAACTAAGTCTCAGAAGATATTTTGCTGACTTGATTGCCATTGTGAGCAATCGTTTCACACTCTGCCCTTCTGCCCGACATCTTGCTGTCTATTTGCTGGACCTGTTTATGGATCGTTATGACATCTCTATCCAGCAGCTGCATTTAGTTGCACTTTCCTGTCTGCTTCTAGCAAGTAAGTATGAGTACAATCTACATGACTGGAAAATTCTAGTTTATAATTAAATAAATTTACGTAGAACTCAGTGAAGTACCGCCAAATTCATTTCATTCCATTTTACTAGTATTGGAAAATTTATGTTGAAAGTGCTTTTTGGCATAGTAGTTCTTAACCAGACATATTAAAAAGTGGCTCTGAAATCTTTCAAAAACATGTGTACCTGAGCCCCACATCCTAAAGATTCTGATACGGATGTCTAGGTCATTGCAAGTCTACTGACTGAGAATCTACATCATGGGACCTGGATATTTTTTAATGTCTTAAAAATTTCAAAGTTGATTCTCATGTATCTTCCCAGTTGGGAACCATTGCCTTAAAGCAGTGGTTCTCAACCAGGAGCAGTTGTGTCCCACTGGCGGATATTTGGCAATATGCGGAGACAGTTTTGGTTGTCATTACAACGTGGGAGAAAGCTAAACATCTGCAATGCACAGGACAGCCCACACAACAAAGAATTTTCTAGCCCCAAATGTCAGTGGAGCTTAGGTTGAAAAACTCTGATAGGTATCATACTCTTGTGGTGTTAGAATACCTTCTACTGACTAAGTGGTGATTTGGATTAATGAACTGAAGGTTCACATGCAATAGTTACACATGTGAAAACACTTGCTTTTACAGTAGGCAAAACTGCATAGTAAGCTGTAAGGTAGAATCTGTTAATGGGCCTTTTGGTGCCTCTTTCTCTTAACATCTTCCTGTGACATATTTCATTGTTTGTTAGTATCTTGACTGAAGAGAAAGAGGGTGAGTAAAGGCATTGAAAGTGAAATTTTTCTTCTCTTAGTATTGTGAAAAGATGGTATTTGTTTTTGAGGTTGAATCCATTATGTAGTGTTTTTTGTTTTTAATTATTCATGTCATTACGATGGAAATTTAAGTCCCACTTAAAGTGACATGTAGAAATATTGACTGCCTTCACCTCTAACCCCCATTTGAGGATATAGGATCCAATGTGACTGCTATCACTGGCAACCCACTCCAGGACTCTCGCCTGGAAAATCCCATGGAGGAAGGAGCCTGGTAGGCTGCAGTCCATGGGGTTGCTAAGAGTCAGACACAACTGAGCGACTTCACTTTCACTTTTCCTTTCATGCATTGGAGAAGGAAATGGCAACCCACTCCAATGTTCTTGCCTGGAGAATCCCAGGGACAGGGGAGCCTGGTGGGCTGATGTCAATGGAGTCACACAGAGTCGGACTCGACTGAAGCGACTTAGCAGCAGCAGTGACTGCTATCTAAGAAACATTCCTTCCCTACCCTACCACCAGAATTCTTTCTAAAACACCTTTGCATTTGACTGCAAATAACCCTAAAACCAAATGCAGGCCTGTGTGGTATCATTTATGATACTAGTCTTTTCTGCTTTTCTTTTCCTGTCCTTATTTTTCCTCTGATGACTTCAGCTCCCTATTTTATCTCCTGAAAGCTCTTTTTGTAAACTGTTTCAAATCTTTTGTGGATCAGGTTGAATATATATAAACACAGCCCAGTGATGACTTTCCACTGCCTGTGGGTTAACGTAGAAACTCCTTAATGTAACATTCAGAACTGTTCATCTGGACCCAGCCATCTTACTAGACTTTTCTTTCAATTCTGTCCCCATGTAACTTGAGTCAAATTCTTACCAGAATGGTATACTTCCTGAGTATCTATCTTTCTCCTTTAATCTGTTGCCTCCAAGATCTAGATGTATCACCTGCTCCTATTGCCACCATCCAGGAAGCCAGAGGTAATGTTTGTACATTTTTAATTAACCTTTAATTTGACCTTTAATTAAGGTTTTATCCTCATAAGCAATCATGTGTACAGTTCTGTGTTTCATCACTATGATGATTTGTGATTTAGTAGTTTGCATAGGGTTGGAAATACCCATACTTGGCATATCAAAAATGTGTGAGAATCCACGTGGAATGGCTTTCTGATATCCTGTACAATATTAGTTTATTATAGGATCGGTTATAGTAGAGAGACACAGGAAATCAAACATGCAAGTTAGGTTATTTTAAAATCTTGGGATCAGTAATGAAAAATTTTTTGCCTGGTGTGGCCATCACTGTCTTTCAATCACTACCAAGCCATACCTGCTCTGTGCCTATGGACTGTGAAATTATGAATGATGGATAGTCAGTTCATAGACTGACTTATATTTGTGACTAAAATTTACTAGTAACTTACAAAATGATTTGGAGATTATAAACTAGATATTTATAAACTACATATTAGCATCAGAGTTCACCAAGGTCTCTAGCTGAATAATAAGAACTCTGGCCAACATGCAGAGCTTGGTGCCAGGTTTCAGCAATTTCCACAATTTGGGGAAAGGATCTTCTATTTACGCAGTATCTTAGGTTGATTGGAATGGCATTTTCAGTTCTTCTTTCTAAATTTTCTGTAACTGTCAGTTTAAGGTCTTGATCAGTTTATTTTATTGAAGATTATTTGATTTAATCTGTGGTAGTATATAGTTACTTTTGGCTCATTTTCTAGGAGCTAGACTCTAGGATTTGTGTTTACTGAGGTCAGATGAGAATTGTTTACTACCTATTACTAAAAGAGTCAGATACCTCCTCCCTTTGTTTTACTGACCCCGCCCTATTGTCTCTACATTGTTCTTCTTCCACTGGAGAGTGGGAAAGTGTGAGATCGGTGCCCCTTAGCGTCTCAGCTCCTCCCGGGTAGGCACTGGTCAAACGGAGTTCAAGCTGTCAGCTCTTCAGTGGGCTCAGGAGCCAGAGGCTGGCCCTTGGTAGCCCACTGAAATCTCTTCTCCTTCCAGTTAGTGAAGTCTAACTTTACTCCAACAGAAATGTTTAGGATGCTTATAAACCAGTAGTCCATTTTTAATATCTGATGTATGTTTTAAATTTGTCGAGTTCTTTCTACTGTTTCTTACATTCTTACACTCTATCTTCTTATATTTGAATTCCAGAGTCAAGTCTCCAGTTAGTTATCATAAACGGTTCAAATGATGCTTCTCTTGTCTCAGAATGATTAAACTCTGAATGTCCCCCTCCCCCAGCTGCTCCCTTCTTTGGGATGGGCAGCCTGTTGTATAAAAGTGAAGAACAACTTACAGCTGACAGGACTCAGCGACAGCTGTATTTTAGTTATTAAATAGGTTGGAAGGCTTTGGTAGTTTGGTTAAAAATGGAGCACAGCTTGTAAGTTTCAGGTACTAATGCATATCCAGCTGCTTGGATGTACACTATTAGAGGCAGGAAGAAAGGACCTCCAAACGGGAGAGTGGCATGTAGTATTTTTGTAGCAGGGATTATGGGAAATCTATATGATATAGAAGTGAATCTCTTGTCAGCAATATGAATTTCAACAGCCCTTGAGTCTTAGGTTACTTCTTATAAAATGAAAATAAAGACACTTAACCTTACAAACTTGTTGTAAGGATCAAGTGGGGTAGTATGTTTAAAAGCACATATGAAATTGAAACATAAAGGTTAGCATTGTAATAATTAATTCCTCCATAAATGTTCTATAATCTTTAGTCTGGCTCCCTAGCCCCAGAGATTTTGACTCATTCCAGAGAAGACTGATTTATCCTGGGAAATTCCCAAACTCTTAACTTCTTGATATATAATACCCCGGCTCCCTTGGCTTCTGTGATCAGTGTTGAACTTGTAGAGGGCACAGGAGTGGTCTTAAACATGAGACTTTTGATAATCTGCTCAAGGTGTGTGTGCTTAGTTGCTCAGTCATGTCTGGTTCTTTGTGACCCCATGGACTGCAGCCTGCCAGGCTTCTCTGTCCCTGGGGGCTCTCCAGAAAAGAATACTGGAGTGGGTTGCCATGCCCTTCTCTCGGGGATCTTCCAACCCAGGGATCAAACCCAGGTCTCCTGCATTGCAGGTGGTTTCTTTACTGTCTGAGCCACCAGGAAGCCTGTTCAAGGTTTTGTGTAACTAAGAAAAAGATCTTTTTGTGTAACTAAGAAAAGACTTCAAGATGAAGTCAAAAGTGAGATTATAGGCTTTTAATAGCAAAAATTTGTGACAAGTGCTTGTTTCTTCTTGCTAACCAGTACTGGGTTGACAAGGCTTTTTACTATTTGATAGGTGGAAAACTGTATGTCATAGATGATTCTATTTATATATCGATTTTTAGTGAGAATAGAACCTTTTTTTTTTCCCCTCTATGAATTCTGTCTTCTGGTTCCTTATCCATTTTTTTCTTATTAGACTGGTAGTCTTATAAATTTGTGAAAATTCCTAGTAAATATTAAGGGTGACTTTTTTCTCCTTAGTAATAAAAGACAAAATGTGGGTGGGCAGAGATCACAGTGACATCTATCTGATCCATGCCCTGCTACTACATACCTGCCATTCCCTCCTGACTTTGAATATGTGCTGGTTTCCATGGCAGACCTGAACATTTCCTATAAAGGAAAGACAACCTGATGTTTTGTTTCTGGGGCCCCTGATTCTTTATTTTCTGGGAAGCAGATGTGAATTTCCTGTGCCCTTATTTCCTGTTTGGGACCTTTATCAATATAATCACATGGTTTCTGGTATTTCCTTTCAATTGAAGAAACTGATCTTTGTGATCTGTATGTGGTATTATGGATAAGTAGATTTAAAATAGTCATGCACATAGCATTCAGCACGATAAAATCTATATATGAATGTAAGTACTCACAACATTGTCACACATTTTGAAATCCTTTAACATCCATGTATCTGAGTATATTACTATATATAATGAAAAGTTTCCCCAAAAAATTAAATCTCAATTTAAATATCAAGTATGGTTATTTATGCAGTATGCAGGTTATTTTTAACTTTGCAAATCAAGATGCAAAGACCTTCACACTTGTAATAGCCAAGTACTTTATAAATATAGAAAACCCATGGATCCTTAATAATATAGAAGCCTGTCTATTCTAGGAGTCCCCATTTAGCTTTGGTCTGGAAGCAGATTTGGAGAATTCAAGCATAAATCTTCCATTTTTGGTTTGACTCAACTTAATTGACCTTAAATGAATTGGCCAACCTTGCTAACTTAGTTTCTTGAGCTGTGAAATTGGTCATATATAATTTTGTTTTCTGTGTTGAAAGGTTCAAGGAGATAATATGAGACATTTTCTTGATCCTTGAATTAAACAGTGAATTGTGGTATATTAATTTCTTCAAAGGAGCTTTAAACTCATTAACTTTTACAGTATTCCTTTGAAGTTCAATGCCAGTATTGCTGCTGCTACACAAATAGAGTACTTTGAAAGCCTTAATGATTCATCCAGAGAGATTGAACTAAATTCCTAAGTCATTCTCCTTCTGAAGAATTCCACTCTGTTATACACAGAACAGTGGGTTCCTCTCCTATATTTATGCAGTGATCATACTGGATGACTGTCATTAAGACCACTTTAGTGCTTTTCAGCTCTGCTAATAAATGCCATTGGCAAAACTTGTGAAATTCATCTTTATGTGATTTAAACTGGGAAGCATTATCTAGATTATTGAAAAGTCTGAATTATGTAAGTTTTTTGGATTAACTCTTATTTGCAGCAATATTAAGAGTGGTTTAAATCTAACAAAGTTCAAAATTCAAAATTTATGGAGTGGGAGTGAAATTTCTAACTCTTTGCACCTAGACTCTTAAAGTCATGAGCTTAGAGTTCCTGGCATAGGAGACAAACCTTCTACCCTAGTTCCCCCTCCCTAACGAAAGACCAGGGTAGTTAGCAGTGTTTTTTCCCAGCCCCTAAGGCTGGCCAACTTGAACAGACCTCTGACTCCAATATACTGAGCATCTGGGCTGAGTGGTTCTGGCCACTACCATTTGTTGTCAGAACTTCAGTGTATGGTTCTGAAAGAGAAACATCACAGGGAAACTGGTTTGATTTCTTCTGGTTTGGCAGTCTTTCTGTTCTTCCCCAAAAAATGTTTTTAAATGGATAAAATCAAATTGTAAGATTTCCAAAGTAACCAAATATATTAAAATAGATATCAAAATAGTAAAACAAAAATTTTATATATTAATATGTAACATTCTAATAACTATAATTATGAACAAGTATAAAAACTATTGTGAGAAATTATAATAATTGCGGTATGACAATTTTGTACCTTAATATAAAAAGGAACATAAGGCTAGGAGGTGGAAGCCTTTAGTTTTAATTTCCTTTCTTCTTTGGACAGTCATAGAACAAAGACCCAAAGAAACTTGAAGATAATTCTTTTGGTTCTATTGCTGCATTTGAAGAATCATAATAGTACTTGATACTTGAACTTTGCGAACTTTCTCCAGCCATGAATTTTAGAGATACCTAAAATGAATGATTTATATCTAGTAAAATACTTGAGGGAAATTAGAGTGCAAGAAAAAATAATTTTTCAGTAGAAAAATTATTCAGGGCTAGAGGGGGCATTTTATTCCTCAGCTGTACATGTGGGTGAGTTTCATGAAAAGAAGTTAATGCCTTCAGATAACCAGGTTCAGTATTTATGCATATTCTGCCTTGAGTAAGTGGATATAAAAGTGGTATAAAGTATCTTCCCCTTTTTAAAATAACAGACTTGGCTAGATTTTTGGTTTAATTCAGAAGAGGAGGAATAGGGGGGTTTAGTAGAATGAGAATGTTTGTGTTAGATGGTCACCTGTTTTTTTTTTTTTCCTTTAATCTATTTATATCTCTGAGATTTTGCTGAAAATATGCTGAGATGAAACTCTCGAAGCTTAGCTATTTTTTATTTCAGATAATTTTATGACATTAAATACCTTAAACTTTGTCCTAAAATAGTTTCTTGTTTTTTTTACCAACTATCACCTGCCCTCATAAAGAAATTTCCTGAAAAGATTCAGCTGTTGAGATGAAAGTTATTTTTTCAGTGGCACATAGGACTGTTTTCATTACACAATAGGACATAGATCAAAATGTTTACACATTCCTTTTTTTGGGGGGGGGGGAGAGGGTTAAAGAGTGTGGAGCGTTGGCACTGGGAGGGAAAACATGAAGATTTGAGAACCATAGAGTTCTGGCACAGTTGTATTTACCCAGAGTAGGGGGAAAATGTCTTTGGATCTAAATTTTTGCACTAAGATAGCAGATCCCATTTAAGGTACTAGACTTAACTTTGATCATTTGGCCTAACATTTTCTTTCTTTTGCTTTTATTTCCTTTTGCATATAAGGTAAATTTGAAGAAAAAGAAGATAGTGTGCCTAAGCTGGAGCAGCTCAACAGCCTGGGTTGTATGACTAATATGAATCTAGTGTTAACAAAACAAAATTTGCTACATATGGAACTATTATTATTAGAAACCTTTCAGTGGAACCTCTGCCTTCCAACAGCTGCCCATTTCATTGAGTATTATCTCTCCGAAGCAGTACATGAAACAGATCTTCATGATGGCTGGCCAATGATGTGCTTGGAAAAAACTAGACTTTACATGGCCAAGTATGCAGATTACTTCCTGGAAGTATCTTTGCAAGGTGAGTTGTTGTAGATGCCAGTAAGTGACTTGTGAGCTTGTGACTTGTGTATTTTGTTGCTTAGGTTCATTTTTGATGTCTCCACAGATTATGCCTTTCTAAATTATGCACCTTCTTTAGTAGCTGCAGCATGTGTGGCTTCTTCAAGGATTATACTTCGTCTTTCTCCAACGTGGCCTACAAGACTTCATCGTCTTACTGCTTACTCCTGGGATTTCTTAGTGCAGTGCATTGAACGGCTATTGATGTAAGCCTCTTTGTTCTTTTGTTTGTAATTTCTTATTAACATTCTTCATGTAAAATGAGCCTTGGAAACAAGTTCTCAAAGGCCAAGAGCTTTTAGATTACTTGCTCTGACAGCTTCCTGATGACATAAACAAGCCCCTGGTGAGCAGTACTCAGTGGAGTACTGAGTGGAAGGGGAGTTTCTTTTGGCTGTTATCCAGGTAGAGGCTGTCAGTGCTAGTATGATTCTGGGTACCTGATAAGGAAAGGAGCTGCTGTTGTGTGAGTCCACAACTGTGAGATCATCCAAGTAAATCTTGCTCCAGTCCTCATTTCCACATCTTTGGTGATATCCTGGTGGCCTCACAATTCAAAGTGGCAGTCATATTTAAGTGCTCATTGTGAACATAGCTCCCAAGGTGAAAAGAGCCCTCAAAGCTACTAGCAGCCAGTCCTCAAGGGTTATACCAAGGGAAGGAGCTTTCAGAAGGCTAAGAGTGAGTTCTCTTGTTGAAATTATGGTTGCAGTGACTGCTACCTGGGCAGTGGGGCAGTCTAAGGAGCCAGCTGTTAGAGAGTTGGGGGTGATGTGTGACTTTCTTGCAGATTTTTCTCAAGTAACATTATTAAGAAGTTTCCTTTATGTCTGTGTTGCAGCGCTCATGATAATGATGTGAAAGAAGCAAACAAACAGAGAGGACAGGCAGGACCTCAGCCAGCACAACTAAGTGTGTTCCAGACAGCCTCCCAGCCCTCTCGGGCAGTTCACTTTCAGCAACCTCAGTATCTCCATCAGACTCAGCAGACCTCACTACAGTATCGCCATCCTGTATCGGAACAACCAAGCTGTCAGCAGATTGTATCTACTACACACACCTCATCTTACACACTACCGACATGTCCTGCTGGCTTCCAAACTAGTGTTCAGGGCCTTGGGCATGTGCCAACTGGTGTTGGGATGTCACTGGCAATACCGGTAGAAGTTAAACCCTGTCTAAATGTTTCTTATAACCGGAGTTATCAGATAAATGAACATTACCCTTGCATTACTCAATGCTTTGAAAGGTGATTTTATGTGAAGGTAAGACCTGACCCAGACTGTTTGTGACTTGAAGCTCTGGGGCAAGCTTTTTGTAAAACTTCTCTTCAAAAGGAAAGGATCCAAATTTCATCAGAACTCATCAGATACCAGCACTAGGAAGACTGACTAGCCCCTCCAACACACCGTGAATATCTGGGAGGACTAAGGTAACACTGCAAACAGTTTAACAGTGTATATGTCAAATCCTGTTAAAACATTTCTATATGACACATTATAAAGCCACAGGTGATGGTCCAAATATTTCAAAAATATTCAACCCAACAGAAAATTTGGACAGACTCCAAATTCGCTGTTTCAAGATTTGACCTGTGGTGGGCTCTGGGCCTAATGTTGGCTTATATGTCAGAGATTAATGTTTATCTGTGGACTTGCCAAACAGTCTTTTTATGAAGGAAAGTTCCAGTATTAATTTTTTAAGAGATCCTTTTTTTTAGTCTCCAGTTTTGATTTATATTTGTGATCTGCAAATGAATTTCTGACTAAGTTTCAACTCATGAATTTCTTTGCCATACCAGTCAGTGTGGTTAAAAAAAATTTTTTTTAGATATTCTAAATAACTCCTTATCACAGATAGTATAGGTATCTGGATTTATGTACTAAAATTAAGATTGGAGTAGATTTCTTAAAATCATGGTCATATATTTTTGTTGTTTTTCCCCTGTGATCAACCTCAAGTCTTTAGAATTAAACACATTTAACTCAGGGAATTTGTACTACTTGGAAACACTTAACTGTAATGCAACATGCTTTGGGAATGTTATAGTATGACTACCTTAATAACATAGGTTAGTAGACTCCTGCTAGAGTGTGTTTTCAAATGAGAACATAATGGTAGCTTAGAATGAATGAAGTGGTTCCTATCATTCGTGATACACATACAAGTTTTGCATTTCTCAGTGCAATCAGTGATTTATACTCAGATTTGGTATTATTCTATCAAAGTTTTTTCAGGGGAAGGTGTAACTGTAAGATGTCAGTACTAGAATGAAGTCCTATAGTTTGCTTTGAGGTGGGATGTGGCCAGGGTAGTTCTCAGGTTGTGCTATAGAGCAGCACTTTGTTCCATGGAAGACAGGTTTATAAGCAGCCTTTGGATCCAGCTAGTCAAGTGTAAGCAGGCAAAGGTGACTTTCATTGGATTGGCCCCGGAACTGCCCTGGGACATTTCACTATATTGGTAATGAGTGAAAACAGCAATAGGTCATTACAGCAAGGGCAATTGGGGGGTAAAGAGTTTGGAGGAAATAAACTGAAAAAAGTAAAAAGAAAAGAAAAACCATTGTAATAACTGAAACTATATACATAGTGCTCTTATCTGTGGGAGAAGAGGTTTGGTGGAGGGAAGCTTTCTGATAGAAAAATTAGTAAAGTGTGTTATTTTGTTTGTGTGTTTTTTTTAAAGATAGCACTTGAATAGAAGGGAAACTGCATGGCAGGTATGTGACTGCCGTAATATGCATTGAAGACAAACTTCTTATTATAAAGATGTTATGGGTATGCAGCAGGAGTCTCAATAATCAAGCCAATGGCTTTTGTTAGGAAGGGAAGGGACTCATCAGAGCAATGGATTGATCCAGATGGCTCCAGTAGATGAATGTGGGTGGGTGGCTTCTGTCAGTGTGAGTTCTTACAGAATATCCTTTCCTTAAATGAAAGGTAACTTTTATCATTAGAATACATAGGGCATGATATGGATTTATTAGTCTGGTAGATAAAATGAAAAACTACTCAGGTAAGAACACTCACTCATGGCAGATTTTTCAAGCATGAAAATTGTTTTCTGAAAGTATCATCACTTTTCTCTTTATAGAAGGCTGCTTATTGGATTTTGGTAGTCCTTACCTCAAGAGAACTTGAATTATTTAGGGGAAAGTGGGTTCAAAAGAGAATATATCATCCACATTCAGAACCTAGCAACCTGGAGTCCAATTTTCAGTATTTTAACTACCTCAATAATACTATGAATGTAAGATATTGGGATAGAGATCCCAACTTGAAACAACAACTGGTGCCTATGGTAATTTAAATGTCTTGTCAAATGCTTTTACTGATTGGTTTAAATGTCATTCTTGTTATAGAAGAATATGCCTTTTTAAAAAGCCTGTAACACTTTCCCAGTTTATATTTTAAAAAGCTAAAGAACACTGGATTAATTTGGGGGGGGGGAGAGTAAAATAATAATTGGTTACTATTGCTGCATACCCAGGGTGGGGTGGGATGGGGTGGTTGGAGAAACCAGTACTATTTTTAAAAACATTAGGTTTACAGTATAAATACAACTCACAACTGCTAGCTTTGGGGGGCTGTGGGTGGGGGGAGTTGTGTGGGTTTTGTTTAATTTATTGATTAGTCTAAAGCAGGTTTTTTGTTTTTTGAGATTACCGGACCATCATTAAATGTGTACTGTGAAGAAATTAATGATATGTATAAAGGGCTTTACCAAAGTCCACTAAATAAACACCACTCAAGTATAGACTGCAAACCAAAATGTATCTGTTATGACATTAATTGCAAATAGCAAGTATGGTGCTAAAGTCCACACCAATGGAATTAGATGAGTGCTATGCACTTAATTTTAAAATAAAACTAGTTTTCGTTAAAATGGTTTTGGTGTTTTGTTTTAAATATAAATTTGTACGTTTGCAGCTTCATTAAATCATGTCATCATGTAAGTCAGACATGGAATTGTAATTACACTTACGAAGTAAAAGCTATCCCAATGGAGAATATCACCATAGTGGTGGGAAACATTTGTCTGTTCATTATGTATTCCATACGGCAGAGACCAGAGCCCACAGAAATGTATTTGATATTACCTTTCTGGCCTTTTGAACTTAAAATAGTTGTTAGTATGTTAGAATTGCAGTGTATAATTTACAAAACAATAATGCAAGCTGCAGAAAATTTGAAGTCTGATTTCAAAAGTAGGTACGTGTAAAATGGCCAGAGGTGTGAGAAGGCTCAGGGTTGACAGTGAGAATGGTCTGTTCGGTTAAGTATCACTACTACTTAATTCAACTTACAATTTAACAGATAAAATTTGTTTTGAAGAGTAAAATTTTTAGCAGGGTTAAGAATTTACATCCCTCAAAATTATTTCTTGAATTTGTTCTATGTAATGTCACTTATTTTGGCACAGTGGCATGGTTTAGCAACAGTTAACATACGTTGCTTGTTGTTGTTCTTTTCACATTGTTAATACACATACACATTGTTCTTTAAGGCTGAATTTAAGAAAAGCAACAAACATTCCAAACCGGGGCAGGTAGCTTTACATTGAGGTGTTTCTGAGTCCCATGTGATAAGTTTATATTCATCAATAAACTCAGCTTATTAAGCCCATAGTGATAGACTTATCTCCCTAGCCTCAAGCAGCTTACATTTTGCTTGCCACTTGAAGAATTAGAATGGTTTATCGTCCACAACTCAGTTTAAAATTATCTTGGTTAAGGGATCACTCAATTTGGTTTTTAAAATCTCTCATACTATGGGGGGAAAAAAAATAGTTAAAAGCATCAAAACCAGGCTCTTGCTTCCTATGAGAAGGATACCTTCTACCCTATTCCTAACCCCACCACCCCTTTTTTAATTAAAATTTTTTATGACTTTTTAAGAGCAGTCTTGCATTCACAGCAAAATTGAGAAGATAGAGAATTTCTTCCTGCCCCTACACATGCACAGTCTCCCACATTATCAACATCCCCACTAGAATGGTATATTTGTTACAAGTGATGAACCTACATTGAGACATAATCACCCATTATGAACGTTTTGGTTTACTCTTGGTGGTGCACATTTCTTCTATCACCATTGTAAATTTATAAAGGTGCAATGGCATACAGTTAAAAAGGTGTAATGGCATCTATTCCACCATGCATTCTCACTAGTGGAAGTCTGTGCTCCACCCACTGGTTCTTCCTCATGCAATCCCCACCCTTTACCCCTAGGTAACCACTGATTTCTTTCTTGTTCCCATACTTTGCATTTTCTAGAATGTCATAGTTGGGATCATACAGTCTGTGGCCTTATCTTTCACTTAGTAATTATGTATTTAAGTTTCCTTCATGTCTTTTCATGGCTTGATAGTTCATTTTAGTGTTGAATAATATTCCACTGTCTGGGTGGATCACAGTTATTTATCCACTCACTTAAAAGGACATTGTGGTTGCTTCCAAGTTCAGAAATTATGAACAAAGCTGCTATATACATCCATGTGCAGGTTTTACTATAGACATAAGTTTTCAGCTCCAAGGAGTGAAACTGTTGAGTCTTAGGATAAGAGTATGTCTAGTTTGTAAGAAACTACTAAACTGTCTTCAAAAGTGGCTATAGCATTTTGTGTTCCCACCAGCAATGAATGACTTCTGATCCACATCCTTGCCTGCATTTGGTGTTGTCAATGCTCCAAATTTTAGTCATTCTAATAAGTTGGGGTTAATTTGCATTTCCCTGATGACAATTGATGTGGAACATCATTTCATGTGCTTATCTGACAACTGTATAACCTTTGATGGAAGTATCTGTTAAGGTCTTTAGCCCATTTTTTAATTCATTGTTTGCTGTATATTTTGGGGAATAGTCCTTTATTAGATGTATTTTGTAAATATTTTCTCCCAGTCTGTGGCTTCTCTTATTAATCTCATGACATTGTTTTTTGCAGAGCAGGAGTTTTTAATTTTAATGAAGTCTAGTTTATCAGTCTGTTATCACTTAAAGAATTACAGATGCTGAAAGGCTGGCTCAGAATTCTCTGGCAGTCCAGTGCTTAGGACTCTATGCTTCCAACACAGGTGGCCCGGGTTTGATCCCTGGTTAAGGAGCTTTAGATCCCACAAGCCATGCAGCATGGCCAAAAGAAAAAAAAAAGCAGTTTGACTAAATAAATAGGTAATGGAGGATATTATAAAGTCAAGGTATTACAAATGTAAATAACCATGGGAACAAAAATACAAACTTCCCAGAAACCT